CACTTGAAATACAGAGTCACCCAGAGTCTTGTTAAAACACAGACGGCCCATTCAGTGGGCACCTTTGAAATGTGCATCCACAAAGAGTTTCCGAGTCATGAGGAAGGGAGAGAGATAGAGTTAGAAACATCGATCAGCTGCCTCCTGCACATCTCCTTCTGGGGATGTGCCCGCAACCCAGGTACATGCCCTTGACCGGAATCAAACCTGGGACCTTTCAGTCCGCAGGCCGATGCTCTATCCATTGAGCCAAACCGGTTTCGGCAGTAGGCATATTTGAAATGTGCATCCACAAAGAGTTTCCGAGTCATGCTGGCACTGCTGGTCTGGGGAACACAGTTCCCGCGTCGCATCCTCTCTCACTTTGGGAATAAGTGGGTTCGGGAAGGCTGACAGGTGCAAACCAGAAACAATTGCAAACCCCAACCAGGGGCAGACTGCTCCCATCTGTGGTTGGCAATTTTCCTCTTAAAGAGCAACAAACCCAGGCCCAGCACTAGCATCCCTGAGAGCAGTTATACCTCCTGGAACCACTCACTTCCTCTGGGAGGGAACGTGAATTACCATGTATAGCTGCCTGAAGAGAGATTTCTTTTTAAAAACATGTATTTTATTGATTTTTTTACAGAGAGGAAGGGTGAGGGATAGGGAGTTGGAAACATTGATGAGAGAGAAACATCGATCAGTGCCTTCTGCACACCTCCCACTGGGGATGTGCCCGCAACCAAGGTACATGCCCTTGACCAGAATCAAACCCGGGACCCTTCAGTCTGCAGGCTGACGCTCTATCCACTGAGCCAAACCGGTTAGGGCCTGAAGAGAGCTTTCTGACGTTAGTCAAACCTTCCCAGGACCCCTCCCTCGCGGTGAGTGGAGGAGGAAGTACTGTAGGTGAGAGGTCAACTACTTCCTGGGGAAAGCCCCATCCATATAACTTCTCCAAGAGTTTATTCATTCCGGAAGATAGATGATGATGAGAATTTTTTTTTTTTAGAGCTTTTAGAGCTGACTAAACTCGGTGGGGTGATTAGATAACCGGTGGCGGAGTTTTACAAGCCAAGACTCCAAAAGCCCATCCCTGCGCTTTTTAAATGGAACACATCTCCAGTAACCAGAAACCCATCTGGGGGGCATTTAAACCACTGCTGAGCCTCTGACACCCTGTGTGTAGGAGAGGAGAGAAACCCAGGAAGAGAGCTCAACCACACCACTGCCTCCTTGCAGATCCAACCCCATTCATTTGTCTGCGTTGCCTTCTAGTGCGCCTTGTTTCTATGGGAAACTGGAGTCTGTGTTCTGGACTTACAGCTACAGCTCTAGAATGGAGCTGGGGCTGTGCTAATGAATATCACCGCTTTTCCTCGTCCAGGCTCTGAATCATGCAAGAAATAAAACAAGGACTATGGCAGACGGAGACAAAATATCGCTCCTTTGGGAGGATGTGGCTCCGGCTTCCTAATGCTGACCCCCTTCCCTCCCAGGCACAACAGTTGTGAGTCCCCAGGTTCCCTCCCCGAAGGGAAAAGGCAGGATCAGAGGTGAGTGGTCCCAATGGGTTCTTCTGAAATAATTCACGTCGCCTCTCTCAGGGCAGAGTGAATAAAGCAACGCCCAGAGCCCAGGAGCCTGGCACTCACTGAGTCCCCTCCACGTGGAAGGGCACATGAGCAACAAAGCTTTTCCCGGAATGAGAAGCTGTGTGCACCGTGTCTGTAATTCTGCGGTGTTGGTATCAGGTGTGGTCTGGGTTAGGAGGGGACATAAGAAGGGATGACAGCTGGTTCGCGCTATTAGTGGTTCGCACTATCAGGACTGCCTGACTTGCTTTGAGGCTGAGTTTCCCCAGGTGAGGCCAGGGGTGAGTCAGGAAGGCAGGTGTTTAGCAGGCCTCCGTCCTCTCCAGGTCATCTGCGTTGTATGCTCAGCAGAGAAGTGGTATAGAAAACCAGGGTCAGGGCTGACACGGTTGTAGTATGGTGTCATTGGCAGACATTGGCAGTCGCACGCTGTGGGCACTGCTCCCTTGGTTGCCAGGACCCAAGACAAGATGGAGCAGTGGGCTGTTCCTGGTTTAGGAGACAGGAATGAAGACCCTGCATTTGAGACCCTATTCTAATCTTGTGACCTCAGACCACTTTTTAGATTTTCCTAGATTCCTGGTTAGCCTTTTATAAAGTGAATGTATAAATTTACATGGTTGAAATGCCATGTCAAAATGGCAAAGGGAGACCATCTATGTAATACATATATAAAGAACTCTTACAATTCAAAAATAAGATGACAAACAACTCCCATTCAAGAGCATATACCTGGGTTGCAGGTTCGATCCTGGCCCCAGTTGGGAGGCGTGTGGGAAGCTACCAGTCAATGTGTCACTCTCACATTAATGTTTCTCACCCCCACCCCCCAAGGAAAAAGGAAAAGAAAGAAAAAAATGGGCAAATGATTTGAACAAATATTTTACAAGAGATATAAATGGCTAATAAGCACATGAAAAGATGCTCAATATCATTTGTCACCTGGAGATGCAAATTAAAACCAAAGTGAGATACCACTACATACCCTAGGAATGGTTAATATTAAAAGACTGATAGTGACCAAGTGTTGGCAAGGATGGGTGGCAACTGAAATTTGCGGGAATGCAAAATGGCACAACAACTATGGAAAACAGTTTGACGAATTTCTTACAAGCTAAACACATTCCTACCTTATGATGAAGCCATTTTGCTCCTAAGTATTTACCCAAGAGAAATGAAAGCATACATCCACACAAAGATGTGTACATGAATATTCATAACACCTTTATTTTGTAATAGTCAAGAAGGAAACAACTCAAATGTCCATCAACAAGTGAATAGATAAACCATGGTACATCCAACATATCTATTATTACTATTAAGAAATAAGAAAAAAACTATTAATATATACAACATGAATGAATCTTAAAATAATCATGCTGAGTGAAAGAAGCCAGGTCAAACAGTAAGAACCCCCAAACCCAGTACATCTGTGCAATTGCATTTATATAAAATTCTGAAAATGCAAACCAACCCATCATGACAGAAACCAGATGAGTGGTTCCCTCAGACAGGATGTGTGGGGAAGGATGGACCCAAGAACGCTCAGGGGATCATGAGGATGTTTGAGAACTCGATTACAGTGATAATTTCATGGGTGTATGCACATGCCAACACTTTAAATATATGCAGTTTATTATACATACATTTTATGTCAATAAAGTTATAAAAGAAAGAAAGGAAATGAAGGCGGAAGGGAGGGAGGAAGGAAGGAAGGAAGGAAGGAAGGAAGGAAGGAAGGAAGGAAAGAAGGAAAGAAGGAAGGAAGGAAGGGAGGGAGGAATAGACAAGGGAAGGAAAGAAAGAAGGGCTGATACACACAGTAACATGGAAGAATTTTTCAAAATCATTATACTGAGGGGGAGACGCCAGACATATAGTACATACCATATGAATCCATTGTTTTACAATTCTAGAAAAAGTCAACTGCTCTCTAGTGACAAAAAGCACATCAATGTTGCCTAGAGTTGGGGGTGGAGAGAGGAATGGACTGTGAAGGGGAAGAGAAAATGTCAGGGTACGATAGAAATGTTCTGTATCTTGAGCGTGATGGTGGCTTCAGATGTATGTGCATCTATCAAACTCATGGAATTCTACAATTTAAATAGGTTTATTTATTATGGAAAATTATACCTGCCTCAAAAAAAAAAAATACCTACCTCAAGAAATGAGTTTCAAAGGAAAAGAGAAAAGGACTTTTTTAAATAAGGTTTTTGTTTAACTCCTGGTGCCAGGAATCACTCAAGTTGAGAATAACAGCACAAAACATGGGCCCAAGAGATGTCTTGCATGGGGAAAATATGTAAATGAGCCTCTTAGCATTATAAGAGCCAACCCCCAAATCCCATTGTTAAATGGAGACTTTTGGGACAAGAAGAAACTAGCCTCCTATCCTATATAATAGAAGCCTAACATGCTAAGTATCCCGTCGTCTGGTTGTCCGTTCAACCAATCAAAGCATAATATGCTAATGAAATGCTACGCTCAACCGCTTGCTATGACGTGCAAGGACCACCAGGGGGAAGATGCTCAACAGAGGAGCTGCCCCCTGGTGGTCAGTGTGCTCCTTCAGAGGACGCGCCACTGAGCCGGAAGCCAGGCTCACAGCTGGTGAGCGCAGCGGCGGTGGCGGGAGCCTCTCCCACCTCTGTAGCAGCACTAAGGAGGATGTCCAACTAACCTCGGGCCTAAGCCGTCAGTCAGACATCCCCCAAGGGCTCCCAGACTGCGAGAGGGCGCAGGCCAGGCTGAGGGACCCCCCCTCCCTGAGTGCACAGATTTCGTACACCGGGCCTCTAGTGTAATAATATAAAAAATGTTGTGTTTACAAGGTCAGGGCAAAAACAAGGTGATATTGGTTCCATTCCTCAGGCCCGGGCTACCCCCAGGGGGTAGCGGTTCTGGATTTTCAGGAGGAAGGACTGGACTAAGCAGACCTTCATCCAACTGATAAAGCTGGTTCCTGAAACGCTGTGAGAGGCCAGGGGCTGAGGAGCAGCTGTCAGTACAGGACCCAGGAGGCAGCAACTTGAGCAGTGAACAACCAGGAATGAAGAGAAAATAAACTCATCTGCTTAAAATTTTCCCCTTTTCTACATTGTATTTCTCCCTCCTTGACCTGCCTCCCACAAGCCTTTGGTAAACGTAGGTTAAATGCTACAAGTTGATATTAACAATGTTTGAGGATTAATGGGGACTGGGGTGGGGGGCGGGCTCTTGCAGGTAGAGTGATCTGTGGAGAACAGTGGGCGCTTGCAGACATGATTTCAAAGTTGCTAGGCGTGACCATCAGGGGGGCCCAGAGCGCTGATCCACACCAAAAGGTGACAAGAGCTAAGCAACAAACAGGCTGGGGAAACGTGGGAGTACTCCTCAGGGATTCTCAAAACTACCGGGGGAAGAAAATGGATTTCCTGCGCTCACATGGGGTGAGTAAAGCCAGGCTGTATCATTGGGTATTTTAAGAAATGGTGACCTCCTAAAAGGTGGTAGCTTGGGGACGTTTGGGATATAAAGAGATATATATCTCTTTATATTCATGTAGACATCTTTGTGTGGATGTATGCTTTCATTTCTCTTGGGTAAATACTTAGGAGCAAAATGGCTTCATCATAAGGTAGGAACCCCCCCCCCCCCCCCCCCAACCATCCCAACTCCCAAGGATGTTTAGACTGTCCTGAGTTATTTTGGACCATGAGATAGAAAAATAGTTTATAAGGCCAGGTTCATCTCTTCCATCTCAGAAGCTCATCTGAGACCTATGGTATATGACCAAACCCTAACGAGTAATTGCTTTTGGCTCATTTGACGTCAGTTAATGGCTGGACTTTGTACCTGAAAGAGAGTTAAATCAGAAGGCAGTTGGGGGAAGATCATTTCCTCCTTGGGTTACCTAGCAAGAAGATCTAAAATGAAAGCCTTCGCTCACCTCTCTCTTCTCACCCTCCTTTTTGTAACTTCAGGTAAGGGACATTTAAGTCTTTTAAATTATTTTAATCATGTTTGTTGTCTTTGCAATAGAACCAACAGGCTTCAGCGATGCCCCACAGATGGACTATTCTGTGGATGAAATTTCCTCTCCAAGTATAAAGACACAAGGCATTTCAGTCTGTGGTGAAGGAGGATAGAGCAGTAGTACGGAGGCCTCTGGACTAAGATTTGGGGTTCAGTAAACCAGAGATATTCCCAAGGCCAGAGAAGAGTGACTTAGGTTCCCAGGGTCCAGTGCCCTTCCTTTTGGCCCCCCGATGTCATTTGGGTCCCAGTGCAGTGCAGGAAGCAGGTTTAATCCCTGCTTCTGGCATCAAGAGTTTTTTGCCCCCTTACTTGTGGGAATTAAAGATTTAGCCCCAGGTAAATCTCTTAATCCCTCTAAGTATTGGTGCACTTTTCTATCAAATGTGTCTCTATATCTCCATCCCAGGTCCTGTCAGGCACGGGGTAAGCCCTTGATAAATGAGAACAGTAGGAACAGGAGTAGCAGCAGTCAACATGACTGGCTGGTGGGCCATTTTCTGGCCCTTGGAAGAGCAATTGCTTATCTCCTCAACACCTAGGAGTGACTAAGCTGGGCCCTATCAAGGGGAAGAGCCAGATTCTGCCATCTAGGGACTCACAGACCCAGGGTGAATCAGGGAGACTTTCAGCAGTTTTCTATACTCGAGGGTTTAAGAATTGCTTTTCCTCTAAAACTTCTTCTTTTAATCATGTGTTTAACTGATTATCAATGTCAGAGTTCTAAAGACAATTAAGGGTTCTAGAAAACTGATCAATGGATCACTAAGCATTTACTAACCCAGTGGTTCTCAACCTTCCTAATGCGGCAACCCTTTAATACAGTTCCTCATGTTGTGGTGACCCCCAACCATAAAATTATTTTTGTTGCTACTTCACAACTGTAATTTTGCTACTGTTATGAATCGTAATGTAAATATCTGATATGCAGGATGTATTTTCATTGTTACAAATTGAACATAATTAAAGCATAGTGATTAATCACAAAAACAATATGCAATTATAAAGGGTGTCCCAAAATTCACGCAAGAGGTAATTTTAATAGAAAACACAGGTTTATAATTAAAAATTATAAATTTGTTATTGATTCATAAAGTATACAGTATAGGGTTATGTATGGAATAGCACATCGGGTAAATGGCCTCCACAGCTTTGCTGGCACATACGAAAAGCCGTGGTCTTCATTGGTCTTCATTGTCCCTGCTCCTGGGCCATAATTGGTACTTGGTAATGCTTATCAAATTGAAGGGATTGAAATCAAAGGGCAACAGATATTAGAATCTGATTCAATAAACCAAGTAAAATTAGGCTTTTATTTTTTGTTGTTGTTAATGCTCATGCAAAATTCAAATCTTGCGTGAATTTTGGTACACCCTTTATATGTGTTTTCCGATGGTCTTAGGCGACCCCTGTGAAAGGGTTGTTCGACCCCCAAAGGGGTCGCGACCCACAGGTTGAGAACCACTGTACTAACTCTTATGTCCAAAGGTGTCTAAGAGTTTTTAAAAAAAAGACAACTTTGATGATCACCATAGCCCTTAGGGCTAAGATCATCTCTGTTCATCTTACTCTTTAAAAAGTTCATGTGTCTGGAATTTTTGGAGTTGTAATAGACACTTAATGAATTTTTTTATTTCATCATTCATTTAAACACACACACCCTTTCCCTTCTCTCCCTCATAACTGTCAACAGCTTGGCCATGTAATGCAAAATTGGGACAATTGCCTTAACCCAGCGGTTCTCAACCTGTGGGTCGCGACCCCTTTGGGGGTCGAACGATCCTTTCACAGGGGTCGCCTAAGACCATCGGAAAACACATATATAATTACATATTGTTTTTGTGATTAATCACTATGCTTTAATTATGTTCAATTTGTAACAATGAAAATATATCCTGCATATCAGATATTTCCATTATGATTCATAACAGTAGCAAAATTACAGTTATGAAGTAGCAACGAAAATAATGTTATGGTTGGGGGTCACCACAACATGAGGAACTGTATTAAAGGGTCGCGGCATTAGGAAGGTTGAGAACCTCTGCCTTAAACTGTACAAAGACAAAGAAGTCCATTTCCAGGTTGTAACAGCGCCACCTGGTGACAGATTGACAGTTCTACAACTACAGGCATAAATGATATTACTCCTTGGTATTCATGAATTCTATGTCGTATTTTAATACCATTTCCCCAGTTTTATCTGTATAATTTTTAACTTAATTTAATGTGAGTTTGTGTGTGTGTGTGTTTTGAAGAAGTCATATATTTTCGTTTTTAATGTTGTCAACTAAATAGTAAGTCCTCACCTTGTCAATAGGTTCTGCAACTTAAAGCAAAATGATGTATATTGAAACCAGTTTTACATAGGCTGATTGATGCAAACAGAAGTTAAGTTCCTACATCTCATCAACATTATTGTAAAAATATGTTGAATGAAACAACATTATTCAAGCACCTCTTGCATTTATTTTTCAGAAAAAAATTAATTGGGTACTAATTACAGCTGACCCTTGAACAACACAGGTTTGACTTTTAAAATTTGAGTATAATTTGAACTCAGGCAGTTCAAACCTGTGTTATTCAAGGGTCAACTGTTGTATTAAATAACTAGAGGCCCTGTGCACAGATTTGTGCACCAATGGGTTTCTCAGCCTGGCCTGTGCCCTCTCAAAATCCAGGACCCCTCAGGTATGTCAGAGGCCTGGTGCACAGATTTAGCCCGATCCCCGCAGGCCAGGCCGAGGGACCACACTGGTGCATGAATCCGTGCACTGGGCCCCTAGTATGCATATAAGATCTTTGGTTAATCTCTTCCCGCCCTTTCTCCTCCCCACTTCCCTCAGAGATCCATCAGTCTGTTCCATGTTTCTATGCCTGTGCATTGAGCATCTTTCCCCAGGTGGTCAGTGAGCTTACAGCTACTGTCGAACCGTTGAATGGTCACTTAGGTTTTACTAGTCCTATCTAATAAAGAGGGAATATGCTGATTGACCCTCACATCACAGCCAATAAGGAGGGAATATGCTAATTGACTGTCACACCCTCAAATATGGCGGTGCCCACGGCCACAAGATGGCGGCGCTCATTCCCCTCAGCCCCCCAGCTGCCCAGGGCCACCCGAGGCTCAGGTAACCAGGGCTGAACGAGGCTTGCGCTGCTGGCAGTGGCAGCAGCAGAGGAGTGTCACCTTCCCCTAATCGCCGGGTTGCCTCCTGCCCCTGAGGGCTCCCGGACTGTGAGAGGGGGCAGGCTGGGCTGAGGAACACCCCCTTCCCATATGCATGAATTTTCATGCACCAGGCCTCTAGTGTATATATA